GTACCCCGACAGGAGGTGGGGACGATGAGGAGAGAAGGAGCGCAAAAGATCAGAAGAGGGTGCATGCAGAGATGGAAGGGGGCAGCCCAGCCCCACCTGGAAGTAGCCGCACCCTTGGGGATCCCAATGCTCATCTGGGATCCCCAGTCCTAGAGACACACCCCCCCAGCCCTGACCAGCCCTGCCCTGAGTCATCACTCGCGTGAGCCAATTGCCCCACAAGAAGTGCAGATGTGGCTGTCCCTCTGTTTCACCAAGGACTTGGGGCTCGGAAGAAAGGCAGAAAGGCGCGGCTTCCTTTCCTGGAAATGACCACAACAGCAAAAGCCTTCAAACAATTCCATTACAAAGCGGACGGGAAAGGCGCGAGAGAGGCCCCAAGAGTCTTCCTCCGGCCCTTCCCCTTCCCACTGAACAGAAGGGAAATGGTTCCCAGCACTTGAGACCCACCTCAGGGACATCTGAGGTTGTGTGGACCCTTAGGTTAAGAACCATTAGCCTGAGGTTACAGAGCTTAATGCAGTGAGGGCATTTGGGAGGTTTCTCTTCCCCTCCCTCCTGGGGGCAGAGCCCAAAATATCCTCTAGGAAAACCTTCTTCACCTTTATCAGGAGTTCAGAGTTCCCCACTGGAGGAAAAAAATGTAATTAAAGTTCATAGGATTCTAGCTACATCATCCAAAATGACCCAAGTCCATAACCAACTTGAAAGGGACAGAACATTTCCAGCCTGTCACTGTTTTGAGTGAATTATTTGTCCCCTGGTCTCTTCGAACTATAGATAGTACTGTGATGAGATCATTACTGTTTTCTGAGCTTTGCTTGTAGAAAAGCAGGACCCTTCCCACAGGTGGGAGGAAGAAAATTGGCAGAGGATCTGCCTGTGGAAAGGACTCTCTCTGCCTGCCTCTGGACCTCTGGAAGTCTTTTGTGACTTCCCATTGCTTTTGTATATGAACTGAGAAGAATCCTGTCTGTGTTAGGCTGTTTGGACACATTTTCACTGACCGACAGGCTTTGTAGTGGGATTCATGTCTTGTTGGCCTTACAAACCTCCTTTACATCTTATGGATGTAAACACAATGCTAGATCTCAAGAATTCAAGGATCAGTAACATGTAAAACATGGCCACTGGTACTATATGCAGTGACTTAGAGTCAAATGACTGAGACAGGCAAGTCATGCAGTGAGTTACATGGAAGGTGCATGCATTGGCACATGGAAACACAGAAAGCAGGATCTCACGCATTAGCCAGTGACAGCCAAAACATTTAAATTCCACTCAAGTCTGTTGTCTGTTGAGTACCAGGAGTTAAAAGGGCATGGGTCAAGAATTCTGGCTGCTGGGAACATGAGAAGCTCCCACCAGGCAGGGCAAACAAGATGTCAGGATGGGTGGTATTTAAAAACAATTTTAAAAATCCCACTGGATCCCTTAGCCCGAGGCCCCAGGTGCTGTGGAAGTGCTGTAGCAGGCTCTTGCTCTGGTTCAGCATTCTTACCCATCTTTTAATCACCTCTAATCTGCAGCGTACTCACAAAACAATAAATTGAGTTTCTAGCTACAAAGTGTGTGTGGCTCAAGAGCATTGCCTTTCCTTATGCACATCCAGGAAAACTGGTTCCATACAGTACAGGGAACAGTGACTGAGGACCTTATCAAATGAAGGTGAATCCCAGCCCTTGGCAGTGTGACGTCATAAATGATGAGGTGTATACATATCCCTGTAGAAGTCACCCTGAAATCGTTAACAGTTCAGCATACCGTGGTTAAGCGTGGGTTTATTATTTGTGTCTATAATGAGTTGTGAGTTTCTGAGCCTAGCATAATTATATTTGTTACATTGACCAGCAATTACTGTTTCTATTCTAAGAGAGGAAAGGGGATGGTGGGGGTGGTGGGGGGGTAGTTCCATGTCCAAATTACAATTAAAGGAAGTGAATGGGATACTGGGCTCTGATTTTTGTGGCCGGGCAGAGAAATTCGTGTTTGTCAAAAAGAGGAAATTAGACATTGGAGCCCAAGGTCCTTGGGGAGAGAGAGCCCAAGACTTGGTCATAAGCAGCCAGCCACACAAAATGCACAGCCTAGGAATGGGTGGACCCTAGTTTTTGTGGAGCCCTAAACCAATATCTTGGAAGCCTTCTTTGAGAAAAATAATGCAAAATTACAAATCTGAATTAGGTAACAGGCCTTGGGAAGCAGCCCAAATAAGTGGGGGAGTAAGGAGCTGGTTTCATAAGCTTCACTAAATCTACCTCTGGGCCTCCTCATGTAACACACTCAAGACTCTGCCACTCCCATCCCCTTTTCCCTGGAGAAGGCAAACTTTAGGCTATTAAGGCTTCGGGGGTGCGGTTTATGAGCAAAGGCAATAAAAGATGAAGACACAAGGCTGTGCCAAACTGTGACTCAAGGCGGGATATGAAAAGCGTCTGCAAGTATTTGAAAGGTGGAAACTCGGAGAAGGGAAAAGAATTGCTCACTGTTCCAGGGTGGAGAGGGAATGAGGAGCCAATTAAGGAGAGAAAAATGTGCACAAAACGCATCAGGAAATGTTAGCTAACTGTATTTTCTGATACTGTGGAGTTGTGTTTCCCATGGGAAGTATTTGAGAAGCTATTGAGTCACTGAGAACTGGAACTGGCCACCAACAAAAATGTGCTATAGGAAATCCTACAAAAGGTCCTCCAGGGAGCGGCTGGATGCCCCTGAAGTTCATTCGCAGCCCTGCATTCCATAAGGCTGACACATGGCGGTCTGTAGATTAGTATTTGGGGAGGAAGTCAAATGAAGGGAGGGGAACAAATCTACAGGCCAGAGCAGCCGCCTCCACCCACATTTGCTGACCTATGGAAAAAGCAAGGACAGAAGAGAAAAATTATGAGGGGATAGCGCCACCCAGCGATGTGAGCAAACCATGTGGTCGGGAAAGCCGATTCAAGTGCAAAATGGAACCACAAAATCCCTGTCCTCTCCCAAAGCAGAACAAGTTGTATCACAATGAATAAAGGGTTGCTTGGGTAATACCTAAAATATACCTGGGGGGGCTGTGAGATGGCTCAGCCGATAAAGGTGCTTGCTTCTAAGCCTGACAACCTGAGTTCAATCCCTTGGACCCATATGGTAGAGGAGAGAACTGACTCCTGCAGTTTCTCTGTCTCTCTCTCTCTCTCTGTCTCTCTCTCTCTCTCTCTCTCTCTCTCTCTCTCTCTCTGTCTCTCTCTCT